TATATATTATGTAATATTAATTATTACAGCATCATACTATTATTATTACAGTAAGGTTTTATTAGTTAATGTATAGCATGAACTAATAATAAACAATACTTGTACAGCATTTAATAATCATAGTTTAACATAACATGTACTTATGTTGCTTATAGTTATTAAAATCTACATGCATTTTCATTGACTAAAATTTATATGCTAATGAATAAAAATTCTGTTAATGTATTGTTCACTGATTGTTCACTGATCTATCTTTTTGCCTGATTTTTGTTAAATACTATAACTAACATTACCTAATGCAACCTTATTTTAAACTGATTACAATAATGTGATCACCATGACAAACATTAAAAAAGACTTTTATTTAATAATTTTTCATATTAGTTAAGTGTATCATGAACTGTTTAATAATCTACAACTTAACCATATAAAAGTGTAACATTATTAACTATATATATTAGTAGTATTTTTAGTTTTATTTTTAGTATTCTAACAACAATAATAATGTTGACAAATCTAGTTGTGATTAATGTTTTGGAGATTATTAATGTCACTTCATTTTTTTTTTATTCTCCTCATTCAGACCAATGTATTTCATTTGTATTTAATCTCTAAGGAAGTAAAAAAGAAGTGTGGGAAAGACTGAGAGAGAAAGTAATAAGAGAAGGGTAGTAACATTACAGAAGAGCAAGAGGAGGAGAAAGCAGCTCAGAAACAGAGACTAAGGGTGAAAGACTAGTAAAATGTCCCGGGGCAGTTTATCAGGTGCCTTTGCTCTCTGAACACATTAAAACACCAGCCAATGAAGCACTGATGTGGAAGAATCCAGCACAGGCTGTGGGGTTTGACTTAATGTCTTAAAGATTAGCATCGCTGTTACTATTTTGTGTGCTTAGGGACAAGGATGTGTGAACACGCACCTCATTTTTAGCACACACACAGGAAAAAAACCCACTGATTTCCCATTTTTACACGGTAAAAAAAATCCTGGTTGCCTTAAATTTTAGAGCTAGATGAAATTAACCTTAGGTGACGCGGTGGCGCAATGGTAGTGCTCTCGCCTTACAGCAAGAAGGTCACAGGTTCGAGCCTCAGCTGGGTCAGTTGACATTTCTGTGTGGAGTTTGCATGTTCTCCCCGTGTTCATGTTTCCTCCTGATGCTCCGGTTTCCCCCACAAGTCCAAAGACATGCGTTACAGGTGAATTGGGTAAGCTAAAATTGTCTGTAGTGTATGTGTGTGAACTAGAGTGTATGGGTGTTTTCCCAGTGATGGGTTGTAGCTGGAAGGGCATTCGCTGCATAAAACATATGCTGGATAAGTTGGCGGTTCATTCCGCTGTGGTGACCCCAGATTAATGAAGGGACTAAGACAAAAAGAAAATGAATGAATGAAATAACCTTAAACTGACTTAAACAAGCTTGCACAACTTATAAAATTAAATTAGAACATGATCAACTTAGTTTTAAAAGTTACAATGGATTAAAACATATGCTGTCATTACTAATTACGCAAGTAAAACATACTATTATTAGTACTATTACGCGAGTAAAACATGCTCATTTGTGTTTTGGGGTTGGAGGATGGATAGATTTAGGTGAATGAAAGGATGATAGATGGATAAAGATGAATTGATGGATGGATAGATGGGTGTATGGATGGATGGATATAGATTGATGGATGCATGGATGGAAGGGTTGATGATGGATGGGTGGATAGATAGATGGGTTGGGTGATGGATAGGTGGGTGGGTTGTTGGATGTATTAATGGATGGATGGGATGGTTGGATTGATGGGTGGGTTCGTGGATGCATGGATGGATGAATGAATGGACAGATGGATGGTTTTTGTGATGGATAGATCGGTATACAGTAGATGGATGGATGAATGGGTGGATGGCTGGATGGATGGATGCATGGATGGATGGATGGGTTGATGAATAAATAGGTGGGTAGGTTGCTGGATGCATGGATAGATGGGTTGAAGGATGGATGGATAGATGGATGGGTTGGGTGGGTGGATGGATGGATGGATGGATGGATGGATGGATGGATGGACAGATAGATAGATGGGTGAATGGATGGATGGCTTGAGTGATGGATGGGCTGATATAGATAGATGGATGAAAGGGTTGGTGGATGGATGAATAGATGGATGGATGGATGGATGGATGGGTAGGTTGTTGGATGCATGGATGGGTTAATAGATGGATGGGTTGGGTGATGGATGGATCGATATAGATGGATGGATGGATGAATGGGCTGACAGACGGATGGATTTGTTGGGTGATGAATGGATTGGTTGATGGGTGAGTGGGTTGTTGGATGTACTGATGGATGGATAGATGGATGGATGGATGGATGGATATTGGTTGGATGGATTGATGGATGGATGGGTTGGTGGATGGCTGGATGGATGGATAGGGCTTGGGGGAATGGATTGGATGGATGGGTTTGTGGATGGATGGGTTGGTTGGTGAATAGATGGATGGATTTATGGATGGATGGTTAGGTTTTTGGTGGATGGATTGATGGATGGATGGATGGAT